AATTATTTTATTTTAATATCCGGGAATCTTCAAGCCAAGAAAATAATATATAGATATACATACGTGTACTTAAGTAGTATTTGTTTACTGAATTTATTTACTAAATTAAAACTTTAAACAATAAAGTAAAATTGATTGTTGTCAATATTTCAGAATTTAAATGCGATTCTAAATTCTATCGACATTCGACTTCAGAACTTAGATCAGTTTTGTTCCTTGCACTCGGCGACGATACAAAGCAAGCTCGCCTATTACGAGAGGAAATTGGACAAAATGGAAAAAGAAATATTGAGGATAGAAATGAGGATAAAAATTGATTTAGATAAGGTATCGGAGAATATCAGTAACAAAAATTTCAAAGATGATATCGCAGCCGACAGAATAATAAAAAAAATTGATTCTGCATTCGATAGAGTCAGTAACAAGTACTCAATTATAGAAAGCAATATGGACCTGGTAGCTACAAAAATTCAGGTGGGCATTTTCGTATACCTAAATGGTATCATATATATTACGTATAAATACGAAACTTTCAGTCAACTGTATAGGGTGCAATGAAATTTTAATACCATAGTAGATATGAAAAACTTTTGTAATTAAAAAAAAAACAGTTACTATCTTCTATTCTCTCACATCTCGAACCCTGGACAGTTAACAAAAAATACGAATTAACAAAAATTTGAGCTACATTCAAAGCATTTTGCTGTTAGTTTTGGCTGCACATTTATTGCGTTAGTTTTTGATGTCATATTTTTGTAGAATACCAGGGATGTCGTGATCAAAAAATTAGATAAAATCGATGAATCATTATACATTCGTGACGAAGAAACTGCCGCAGAAATGGAAGATGCAATAGAAGACTTAAAAAAAGTTTGTAGTTCGGTAGAAGATAATTTACTTAACAAAACGCAGGAACATATAAAGGTATATTGATTTCCTTCACAGGTTTTTATTTTTCTTATTGGAAAAACCTTTTGAAAATACTGTATACAACATTTTATGTAAACGATTTGTAGAGCCTCTCGAATCAGACTAAAATTTCAACAAATGGCCATCTCAATGAAGTTAAATTATTGTACGAAAACAGTAGTCTCGGAAATGAATCATTTTCAAATTGCAGTGGTATTGGAATAGCTCTGGACAAAAATAAGGCAGACATTGAAATCAGTATTAACGATTTTACAAACAAGGTACGACAGAAGAATTATCTAGTTTCTCTGCAATCTAACACTTAAAAATAAAAATAATTAGCCATGAAAGGTAGACATTCTTTCCTACTTGTTATTGTACTTATAATTGGCGAATAATTGAAATAAAAACAAATGATAAGCTATGTACGATAATGTACGAGCCACCACGTATTTTGATTTTTAAATGTTAATTCTTTCGCAATGAAGCAACTGGAATTTTCAGAATGTTCATTATATTTCTTTCATTAAAATACAATTGGCATATTGCTTTACTGAAAATGGCATTTTTATAACAACGCGAAAAGTTTACGTAAAAAAAATATTACTTTTAAATAAGTATAGCTTTAAAATAATTTAAGTACAGATATTAAACTTGTAAATACTTCAACAATATTAATTAATAATTAACGACAGGTTACAGATATGAAATACAACCTGGATGAAGCATTAGATCGTTTTAAAGTATCACTTGAGAATGTCGTTTTACTAGTCAACGAAACCAGAAAAGAACACCAAAATAATTTTAAAGAATTAAGAGTCGGCAGAAAAAGTCCAAATAAATGTAACTTAAAATAATAACATTAACTTTTAGATTACTGTTTTTAATGCATTTTTTCTTAGATGTTTCGGACAATGATCAGCTTACAGAGATAAACAATAAAATTGACAAACACTTTAAAAGACTTATTTCAGCTCAAAACTCATTTTCAGAAAATTGCTATAAGTTGCAAATGGATGAGTCGCAAATCGAAACAAAAATAAGTTTCGTATTGGAGAAAATGATTGAAACATTTGAAAATAAGTAAGCACATGTGGGCTAAACGTTTTCAAATATTTTTTTTTCAAAAACTACTTTACTTGCAGAACAACTTTAAAGCCAGAAGATATTACAAAGTTGGAAAGTACTTTATTTGTTCACGATTTGTATATCAGAAGACATTTATATGAACTGGCTAAAAAGATTAATATGTTATCGAAGAAAATATCTGACGATAGGAGTAATACAATATACTCTATAAAACAGGTAATAAAATAACGACCTTTTTTTTTGATGGGCAATAATTTTTATGAACTGTATGTATTTATTATTTAAATCATAATTACTAATAAAAACAATATTGCACAATAANAAAAAAAAACGAATTAATTACAAACAATTTAATTAAAATACGTTCTAATCTAATCACAACAATGAAGTTACGGAATCAATAATAACTGTATTATCTAATGGGAAGTTAGTCGTATTAGCACCGACCAAAGCGTGCTCAGACCAATTTTTTTAACTTTTTTTTTTAACTCGGTACTTCTTAATATTTTTCATTCTCATTGCTATTTTTCATCGCAAGAAATCGTTTATAAGGAGGGTGGAATAGTTTTTGTGACGTAGTATTTGTAAGGGGGTCGCTGAATGTGTGATTTAGCGTAAAATTCAGAGTGACGTATTTTATGAACGAATTGTTCGTTAATAAAGTCACACAGTAAACACTAATAATTGAGACTTTATTTAAAATGCTTTACACAAAATCGTAATAAAACAATATAATAATGGTGTTAAACTGTTTAAATTCTGATTTCTTCCGTAATTCCCAAGTGGCTGTTATTATGCGAACCCATAAATTAACTGATGATTAAAAGGTTATCGTTAACAGGTTCAGTAATCGTTCAATGAATTGCAGTTAAGGAAAATTGAATATGCTCTCATAAAGTTCCAGAAAATTATCATGACGCACAATCTATAAATTCATATACGACTGAGGCAGTAAACACCAAAAGCTTGCTCGTTGTCAGTAGAGAATATTGTGAAGAAACAAAGTAATTGATTGTTGTTAAAAGAGTTGGAACATGTTTTATTAAGTGACTTCTTCGTTTTGTGACATAAAAGAAAATACATAATATATTGAATAACCAAAATATCAGAAAAAAGCATTCAGATGTTGAACTTACGAAAAGTTATTTTTATCGGTTGCATCAATCAACGTCGTTCTTTTTCAAGAAACATATTTTGCACACTTTTTTGGGTCAGAAAACATTTAAATTTACAATGTTTAACAATCAGAATTCAAAGAAAATGACTGCACTAATCGTAAATTACAATACGTAGTGTATATTTTCTTATATCTGTTAATCACTAATGTAAATTTAGAAATTGATATCATATCACTATCTTTTAATAATTTCATAGACAAACTGACGTAACATACAGGGGTGTACTCAAGAAGTTACGCATAGCAGTATTCAATTATGTAATTATAAGAGATTCTTTATCTTTTGGGAATACCGATTGAAAAAACACTAAATAAAAAGCAAAGCGAATCACTTTATATCTTATCTTTTTTTTTTAATGAGAACTCTTACTTATCTTCAATTATATGTATAAACCACGAAGAAATGGAGAATTCAGATAATCTTTCGATTACAGTACATTATATATACATTAATCCACTGTATTCAAAGACAAAAGCGACAAAAATTAATACTAATTACGATTGGCTTTTTGGTCTGCAAAGGACGAGGATTGATAGGCGCAATTTCCGCCCCAAAATAAAGAAACATATTACGCAACAAGGGAAGAAAGTACAGCATTTCCTTCTGGGTGAGAATTGCTACCCCAAATGGAAAGCCAGGGCGGCAAACGAAGCAAAAAATGTAAATTTTTATGAGACAGAAAATGGATAAAATTAATCCATATTTTTGAAATATAATTTTTTTTTTTNTCGCACAAATGGTCGTCTGATCTATTTATTTGTCGTAATAGGAATTGTTGTACCGATCTTTGTCTTAAAACCATACATAGGTGTTAAATGTGAAACAGTGCACTGGCATTGAAGGTTAAAAACAAACATAACAAAATAACTATATTTATTCTTATTTCAATTACATCAACACTTAATTTTTCAGTTTATAAGCCTGACAAAGCTCTGAAATCAGTCATCAGGCGTTAGGCAAACAGCATTTAAAAATTTGAGCGAAATACCTGAGTATATTGAATGTAATTTTATTAACACATATATGCGTTGTATTTAGTGTCTGTAATTACTTTTGAACATTTTAAAAGGTAATTAAACAATTTCGTCTGTACTTTCCGTTACAGTCCACACCTGTACAATTTAAAAACATTAGCACAAGTCGATGATTGCTTTACTAACCATTAATTGCGAAGTTAAATCCGAAAAAAGAACGTTTCAAATACTTCTAACAAGTTCTTTTCATTTTAATTGGTACTAATTACTACAGAATCATATGGTAAACAATCTGCGCGAGCTTCCTGTATAAATTTAAATAATTAAAAGGTGCAAATCACAGTTTTTAACCGAACACTAAGCAATATGCATTGACACAGTTATGAGGTGTAAACCGTAAAACTAACTTTGAACCGACTAACTAACTCTTTCAAAACTCTTTAAGGTTTTGTTTTTACAACATGAGCCAATTAGGCAGTCCAACGTGTTTTCATTTTGTTGTCAAAACTCAGACACTAGTGATAAGGATGTTTATTATAATTTCCTTAATGTAAATTAATACATATTTTCACATTTCGTTGTTGATATTTCAACTGTTTCGCCACATTGCTACTTCTTTAGAAAATAAATATATGTATTTTTACAAGCATTTGTATGGTTAGTTGATGAATATAACGTTTTTGTTAAAAGATATTTCTAACACAACAAAATACATGTATTTGCCTTGTCGTTACATTAATTTATTTTGAACTTTAGTAATTATGAAAAAATTACAGTTCTTTAATGGTTCTAAAATGTGCATCAGTTAGATGTAATCTTCAAAGAAGAATATATGTGACGAGACAAAAACGCTTTTTGTTATGTAAAAAAACAGCATATAATAATGAGCTTTTGCCTGATTTTCGTTTTGATTACAGGGGAGAAGCTTTGAAAAACGTTTGTAAATGTTTCTGTACAATTAGAATTTCGCCCCTTGTTAGTTTTTATATTTTAAAATATGCAATGCCTAGGCACGCATCAATAAAATAGGTCTTACAGAGAAAATAACAATATTAATATATATTATTTTCCAAAAGCTCGCAGCAAATGTCTAGTTAGAGGATGTGATCTAAATCATATTTAGTGGTGGGTAGATAAGTTCTTTATCCCTTAAAAATTCTCAAGTTCTACTTCTCATTTAATAAATCCCGTAAATGCTATCCCGTTCTCAAATTTATTGCCTTTTGCGTACTTTTGCTTTGTAGGGAATACATTTTACAATATTATTGTAGTCAGATATAGCTAGGTACAACTTTATTAAACCAAACAGTTAATTCTATGATTGAGCTTTCCTACATTTAGTCAAAGAATTTTGCGCAATTATTTACGACTATGAAATTGTTTTATTATTATAATATAAAAAAGTGACAGACCCAGACAGCAGAAAATACCTCTAAGCGATTTAAGAACATCATCAAAAAAACAAAAGAAAACCTTTTATTTTGAAAGGTTAAAAATCTATCTATCGCCAAGTAAATTTTTATTACCGCAAAGACGAAAGGTTCAATTAATTTAAAAGCAAACCGTCGATTGTTTTTGATATATCAACGCCGCCTTCGATTTATATACGTATATTCATAGTAAAGGCGTCTAGTGGCTCATAAAATCTACTTGACTACATAAGCAGGTGTGTGTCTATAAAATTACGGAAATTTTCGGTCAGCATCAAGAGAACCTAGATGGAATTGATGCACAATAATTATAACAACACAATTTTACGGCCGCGCATCAAGTGGAAATTAATCAAATAGAACAAGTCCTAATAAATCGATGTATGTTCTTTAATTTTTCGTTGTTTAGTTACGAAAACGAATCGAAACCGACCGTCATACACTAGCGTTTTAATGCAAAACAATCTCATAAAACTTAAAGTAGGTAATTTTATCGGAATGAAAAAATAAATTTACACCTACAAAAAGCGAGGCAAGTCAGCACACTTTGTAAGAATATGAATAAAAGCAAAATAAATTATTTTTTGGAGGCTGTTTAATATGCGTATAAAACGGCCATATCATCGACGTCACATTTNTGTTATCGAAGAAAATATCTGACGATAGGAGTAATACAATATACTCTATAAAACAGGTAATAAATAACGACCTTTTTTTTTGATGGGCAATAATTTTTATGAACTGTATGTATTTATTATTTAAATCATAATTACTAATAAAAACAATATTGCACAATAAAATGCATATAAAACATTTATATTAAGAACAATTTATCTTTATAGTTTTAAATTTAATTTAATTTGTTTATGCTTTCAGTTTATGCACGAAGAACATGGACTGTTAGAAGGAATGGTACAAAATTTTGCAAATACGATCAACAAAACGTTCCTTAATAATGTAACATTAGCAAATACTTTGCTAATGGTAAACGCAAATTTGGAAAAAACACTAAAGTTCTTAAATAACACAACTTCATTAAGCTGTGCTGATTTAGATCTTAAATTTAATGCAACTGATAGTAAAAATAATACTGATAGCACTTTTATTACAAGTGAAGATTATTTAACAACAGAGAACAATACCACAGAAATTACTTTCAATTACACTTCTGATGAAACAAATTTTCCAGATGTTAATTTTCCAATCGACGTTCGATTTGGAATAGATGATTCAATTAAGACTAAAAACTCTGATGATTATAACGTTACTACCCCAGAAAATAATACAGAAGCCAAAATGAACAATACTTTTTCGATTGATCTAGAATCAAATACCACACATGACTTAAATTTAACTGAGTCTAAAACGACAACCAATGAACCAATTAAAATTTTAGTAGAGTCACCAAAAAAACCTACATTTGGTAAAAGTGTTAGCGACTCTCAAGCTGAACCTGTAGATGAAAACACTGAACCATATTTAATTAACAGATCTGATTATGACTTAGAAATGGCAGAATCTACACTCAACAGTAAAGACTTTACAGGAAGATCAGAATTGGATAACGAAGATCAAGATTTAGTAGAGACATATCCTCAAAGGGATATTCTGGATCTAATCACAGAATTGTTAGGAGAAGATTTAACATAAACTTGTACATATTTTCATGTATAAATAAACTTGTATATAAAATGTCTTTGGCCTTTTACGTGTAATTATTATGACTTACCTCGATCTTGGCGCTGTTTTGAAAAATTGTTTGTGCCTTATGGGTAAGTTGAGCAAAACAGGAGCTGAGAGTACACAATTTTTGTCTGACATTATAAACAACATCAGGCTCATCTCCTTCTAACTCCCCTGTAAAGAAATCGTTCTTGAGAATTCAATAATCCAAATAGAATAATAAATCTTGTTATTCAAGGGAAAAAATGAGATAATTTAAAAAGTCTTTCCACCACATTATCATGGGATTATATATGTAAAAATGTTGAAGAATATACGTACCAATAGCTAAATCCAAATCGACGAATGCCTTATCAAATTCTTTTTCTAAAATATCGAGCCACCTAAACCCTACACTAGCCATTTTATGTATAATTTTCGCACAAATCGTCAGATACCCATTAGGTTTTGATTTTTTGATTACCGTACTTTTGACATTTGACAAACAAAGTGACAGGACAGCAACGAACTGAAAAGCAGTGTTCCATTCATAAAGAAGGCTCAGTTCAAATAATGAATAGTTGTGTTCCACAACTGAAACGTGTCTTAGGTTTACTGGGAATCCCCGGGTAAGATTTTTTTTACAATGTACAGGGTGATTAAAACTTTCTTATAAAAGAATCAAATCAAATAAGTGACTACTTTAGAAACAAAAATGTTAGATTTTAAATCAAATCTTTGTTAAATTAATTAATTAGCAATCATTTTGTACAAAAATCAAAAATATATAAATAAAATAAGCTGTGCTTAGGTTTCGGCAAGTAAGTGTTATTAAATACAAAAATTAAAATAGATGAAAATAAGGAAGTTGACAACGGTACAATTTCTTTATTATAATTAGGTAACAATAACTCAATCAGACATCTATTTTACATAAATAATAACTCATTGGCTAATAACAATCTAAATGTTACTGTGCGTGCTCCATTCGTGTCTAGGGGTGCTTGACGTTGAGTGGGGTGAGTCAGGCTGCCTTTGACCTGGTCCAGTCTCATCATACTCAGATACTTTTTCTAGACTTGTCGCAACTTCTTCTGTATAAGCTGTTGGGGTTGATCTTTCGTTTACCAAAGAACTGTATGAACTTACCTCGTTATTTACCAATGGGACATACTCAGGGGGTTGATAATGAGTGTACGTTACGTCTTGGTTGTAATACGTTGGATAAGAAAGGTTCGTTAAATTTGAAATGGGTGCATGTTGGTATATCTGATGAGTGGGTGACTGATTGGGAGACACAGGGGTCGATATCTGATGTGGCGGGGGTGGACTAGACGTTAGAGACCAACAATTAATTGAAGAACTCATGATGGTAGTTGGAACTTGTTGAGGAATTGTTGTCCAAGTGGAGTAAGATGATCCAGAACCGCTATAAACCTGGGTGGTTTGCTGTAGGTGATCGGGAGGGCTGTATACTAAATAATAAATAAATACAACGGATTTATTAAAAGATGATTTATCAATAAACTAAAAAGAAGATTACCAGGTGGTGATACTGAAGCGGATTTGGGACGTTGTTGAATAGCTGACGGATAAGGTGAATACCGGTTATTTCTTAAAGGAGAACCGGAGGAGTACCTTTCACAAGACGTTAATGGAACTGTGGAAACTGTAGGATAAATCGGCTGATGAGGCAATAACCAAGATCCGTCTGAAAAAAATGTAAAAATATAGATGTACTTACATATTTAAATAACAAAAAATTTGCATACGATCTTTGGATAATATTTATGTCAATATTGAGAAGTCATTATTATCGTCAAATACATCTGTTTTATTCCCGCTCTGAATGGTTTTTATTAACAAATTTAATTTGTTCTTTTTTAAGGACGACGTTACTAACTATAAATAGCATTATGTAAAGATAATATGGGGGAAAAGTAAAATGTATGGAATTCCTTACACAAGGACTCTTAGGGGTCATCCATAAAATACGTCACTCATTATTTCGCCCTTTTGGAACACTCCCTCCCCGTTCGCCACGTTACATCATACTTTCGGCGATCATCCCCTAACAAACATTCCGTCACAAAAGCTAAACCACTAATCGATTTATTGTGTTTAAAAATAGAAATGAGAATGACTTTCTAACGTAATGAAAAATTTTAAGAACTGTCCAGTTGAGGAAAACAATAAAATAAATTTGGTGAACTGCGAACGTCACATTTTCTTAGACCACTCTCCGCCCTTGTCATTTCTCGTCACGCTAAGCAATACCCCTTCCTCCCCCTTATTTGCGGACGTATTTTATAAACGACCCCTTACAAATATAATTCTTTATTTATATTAAACGCAAAATTCTATTTTTCGTTTATTTTTCTGTATTACTTTCCACTCCCGAATTAATGAGTTAATTTTAATCAAACATTATTGTTTCTAATTTACACTACACTTTTTATTATTTAAACTGGATAAAAAATGATTTTTTTTGTATATTACTTACATTGGGAGTATTGGGTTTGCTGTTGACCATAAGACTGGGAGTAATCTCTTTGGTTGTAAACCCCTTCGGGTCGTTCCTTAGCATCCAGGAAGGCTTTTGCAAAGGGGTTGTATTTAATTTTTAGCGACGTTACTTCTTCGTTTTGATACGCCGTCACTGCAATAAATTGGGTTTCAGGAAAAGGAAATGTCATAACTCTCCTCTGTTCTGTTCCTACTTTGACAAGGTGAACTCTTGGTTCGTATTTGTGCAACGAGTTCAACATTATTTGCCCGTTTCCGTTGCATTTATTGGTGAGTTTGACTTTAGCAAAGGAAATGGGTTCTTTCATCCAGTGGGCTCCAAAATTAGGAGATTCTGGATGGATGTAGATTGGGTTTGAAGGCGGCACTTCGGCTTTACCACCCGGTACCCATTCTCCGTTTACGTATTTCCAACGGTGGTTATCAATTTGAACGAATTCTAATAGAACGGTGTACATCGCCTTGGGATCTAAACCTGTTACCGAAACTTTCACTACTGGGAACATTCGCCTGAAAAGAAAGAGCGCTTCAATCTCTTCTTTGAAGAAAGAGGATCTAGGAAGACTAATGTCGTACGATCCATCAGGGATACAAGGAATTCAGAAATGGGTTTATGAGTTTTAATCCATAACGTGAAGTTAAAATGGGTTAGAGTTTGGTCGTCTAGCAATATAAATGCGGTAAAGATAGTAGGAATATTGAGAACAGGTAGTAGGAAGTTTAGGATAAACCAAATTAAGAACCTTGAAGCACAGAACTACATATAATTCAGAGAAAAAGCTTTTTGAGCAAAACGTGGTAAAACCTTTCCACTCATCTACTGTCAGTAATCGCTACTGGGTACTTGCTACCACGTAAGTTGGTGTTAGAAAAAATTTACTCGTTTTTGTGTTCTTACCTGCCATTTTTTGTGACAATCATTTCATTGGTAAAGCACTGAAACCGAACCCATAAGTCTCTATCATCCAACGATACACACATGTCTCGTTCTGTCGGATCTCCTTTGTTCTTTCCAGAAGAAATTTCTGATTCCACAGCCGAAAGTATGTGCTGTGCCATTGGCTGAAGCTAGGATCTCCTGTTAAATATAATAACTGCTTAAAAACAACCCCCTTTGTACGAAGATTATTGTATTTTCAACACTGTTGTGTTTTTGAGGCTTTTGTGCAAAAAAAATTAATATTTGACAAACACCAAACTTGTAATACGTTCTTACTAAACTTATTACATGACTAAAATGTAGATATATTATCAAACAATTAAGTAAGCAACACTTTTACTTTGTTTAATACCACTTTTATTTAACAACAAAACAATTTGCTATCATAATTTCGACAAAGATAGTGATTCTTAAGAGATTCAAAAGAATAATGTAAACAGGTAAATAAACAGGTATTTATATCGGGGTACACCTTAATTCTATGTCTTTTATTGCTAAGGGTTGTCTTGTTTGGGAATACCGCTCATTTGCTAATGTTTTGAATAATNAAATGTAAATTTTTATGAGACAGAAAATGGATAAAATTAATCCATATTTTTGAAATATAATTTTTTTTTTTACCTTAGGGGATGAATTTTTGGCACATTTTTGTTTATAAACAAAACGATTTACCTATTAAATTTTATCGAATTACTAGGGCAGATTCGTATGCAAACTAATAGACAATCCTTTCATTTTACGTGACAGAAGGCACTTGTGATGGTACAAGAACAGAAATGTTACCAGAAATGCAACAAGAAGTATCATGTATCTTTTGTCTAGTAAGAAAAACAAATATTGGACTTCAAAGTACTCGTTCTAATCTTTCAGACGGAGAGAGAAAAAGAGATACGTAACTTCTTGTTATTCGTCGTTGACACACGATAATGCAATCTCGAAAATCCGAAATCTTTTGATCATCTGCAACAGATGCAGAAATACGTTAAACAACTGGACACGGTCGTTAGCGATGTTGTAAATATATAACACTTCCAAGAGTGGTGGAGAGAACAGTGACAATGATAAAACGAACTAGTGACTCAATGACATGGTGCGACAGTGGAAGTGATTTTTTCAGTTAATTCGAAATTATTTTCGGAAATATGAAGTTTTTTAAGGGACTTTTTGTTAGTTTTCATGTTCTCGTGTTTACGGATATTTCCGCCTTGGGTGTTCCGGTCTTAAAGGACTCCATGACCAACCAAAAGTATTTTCATTCCCTTAATCAACAGGTAGTAATAATGTCACAAGAGATTTGTTAATCCATTTAAAACAAAATTAAAAATTTGTTGTTTTTTTTGTTTCGGCCTTTTTAGTCAACTATTCTACAACTTTATTTTAATAACTTCCGTTTACATTTGTGACTACGTATATGAGTGCAATTTTGAAAAAAAAAATTATTAGTCAGAAATTTGATGAATAATCGTATAACCAATTTTAATGATTATGTTTATAAAGAAATGAAGTTTTTTAAAATTTTTTTAAACTTAAAACGAAAAGCCTCGAATCAGTAAAACTCAACAATATTTTTAAATTATGATTTGCGCAATCTGAACAGATTTTTATATTTAAGAAAAATTAATAGTTAGTAAAATATGCAATGATATCAGAATATATATCAGAGAATTTAGCTTGAAACGCATAGGTACATATAAAGTTTATAGACTAGCAATAATTAAATTCACTTGAAGATGAAATATCCACTTATTGCTTTTTATAACTTTCGAATTTTTTGAAAGCATGGAAAAGTCACTCCCATTTAACGTTTCTATACCACTGTATCTAATAAGGGCAATTCGATAGAATACTCAGAAGAAAGGAAGTGACAGATTACTATCCTTGCAACATACATCTTTAAAAGCTTGACTTCATGTAAAAAAAAATGAGTGCATAAATAGATTTTCAGTTAGGGTAAAAATACTGTTATTGATAAGTACTTAAAAGTTTTACTTTACTTATTTACTTCATTTAGATTTTACCTATAATGTTATAATTCGGATTTTCTTCATTTAATTTAACCAAAATTAATCTTCACACATTAAAAAGCAACTATAGGCATTGAAAATTTAAAACGAAAAAGCCTATTTCAAGGTTTTGGGATTAACTGAATCAATTATTGTTTATTTCTTATTTTCATCAAAGCACACTGTGTCCTTCACCTGCAGGGGTCATAGCTAAAATGAATGAATGAAAACAAGACGACCTAATAGACTAATAAAATTGAAATATAACAATGGGATGAATTGATAATGAACCGACAGCGACATTCATTAAAAATTATAATTTTTGCAAAACCGAATAAGTATCTGAAAACTTAGTAAAATCATGGATAAAACATGCAATCTTTCCGGTATGATAANCAGTGCGTTTTCGAAAATACCACAAATGGCGTGGTGAGCGCCATCTGTACTACGATGGTACATTTGAGGATTACGTATGCTCCAACAAGGTCCATTTAAACATATGGATATCTACTTGCTGAAACTAATCCCGGCATAGCTCACCTCAACGTGATAGGCACGTTACCATAATCGAACAAAATAATTCGAAGTGGTCTGTATTCTGTCAAAACTGCCAGACGCGGATCGCGATTTCGATCTTTTTGGATCTCATCAGCGCGTCGCAGGCAGCTACGACAGAACACAGACCAACCTTTACCTGCTGTCTTAACAACGCGTTTTCGAAAATACCACAAATGGCCTGGTGGCAACTTATGTTTAATTCACCAAAATATGAAATAATCATACCAAGTATTCTTTTGGATTAAATAGTTATTAAAATGTTTCACCTAGTTCCTCTTAATTATACGTATTAATGAGAAAATTTCACAATATTGTTTTACGTATGTACGTATGAAAAGCTCTTTTTATACGTCAGTGCCTCCTGATTGCTTTATATTTACTAGTTTTATACGCCGAAAATCTACCAGTAGGTTTTCATTTCGTTATTTATCCTTTTATATTAGGTTAGTCATAAAATAAATACTAAAATGCTAATGCGAAAAGTAATCTAATTTAAGCCTTCCTCTGCCCACGTATACTCCTATTTCTGCTTCTAATACATCGTTGACGAGCTCTTTATGACTTCTATAGCGTCCTCTGAAGTTCTATTCTTTCAAAAACTCTTCATTTCTAACCTTTTCTGTCACACAATAAACATCATCTGCTTATGATACCACATCTTAAAAGCTTGTAATTTTTTTTCCATCGTGTCCATCGTCTACACCTCATACGCACAATACAGAGTCGTATTCCAAAAGCTTTTGGTATTAAAAAACCTAGTTTATTTAGTTTTAGTAATGATATACTCTTGAAAATTTAAATTGAAAAGGGAAGGTTTACTTCTTCTTCCACCTTTTATTAAGAATTGTAGGTATAGTTGGGACGATTAAAATTGGCTAAGTCCACAATAAACTATCTGTGAGGATGGACGTATCTTCTTTCTTATTTCCACTTGGGACTGTAGTCATTTGATGCGTTTTTAACATGCCCTTGTTAATTTAGGAAATACTTTAGGAGCAGTACTGACAAACTGAAAAAAGAAAACCGAATAATAGCAAGCGGTGCTGCGGTAAGAGGTTGTTTAGATACGCAAAAGATCAGGATAGGCTTTATAACCGCCTGTTTGGAATTATATCTTTAAACAAGCGTCTTGCATTACTAAATCCCTTAGAATATTGAAATATTTAAAGTCCGATGCTGGCAACATGCTCAATTTCTGCTTGTCTGCATCTCNTATTTATTAAATTGATTTTGTATCACATGTAATGTGCTTCTAATTATATGTAGACTGTTTGACATTTTGAGAACTGCAGATAAAACATTGATTATACAACTTCAATTTAGTCCATTAAGATTTTCACACACACAAATTCACTTTCCTATAACACTCAATAAAACTTGAGCAATGCACTCTAATTCATCTAGGATTTTAGAGAGTTTAATCGATTCGAAAACAAGTACTTTAAGTGGCAAACATGCATTTTATGATTAGATTGAGGAAACAGAAATTCACCTTAAGAATAAACACTGCCGACGAAAACGAAAAATAAATTAGTACTCTTTTTAATAAAACATTAGTAAAATATGAAATAGTTTTTCAAATTTATTTCTGTTTCAATTCAAATCGTAATCCAAAATTTTGATGAGATTATGTGCTACGAAACGAAAAAATATTCTCAAGACCAGTCGTAAGAAAGTGTGGATTACTTTTTGGTGAATTTGATTAGTTTTTTTTATTAAATTAGAATTAGTTATCTTCATCTGCTAGTTATCAATAAGTATAACATCTATTAAGTGATAATAACTACAATTATTTTATTGAAGTCGTATGTTATCAGAAATAGTATTAGGGGCTGATTGCCCAAACTCCCGCTAAATTCAAAAACCCAATAATCCAAAATATAAATCCGAAATGATTTAAACCTCTTAACCCTATAATTGAAGTGTTTTAAAACCTTTTTTCATTAAATTAAAGGATAAATACACCCATAAACGCATAATCTAAACGTTTTAAAGCCCATGAACCTTTCTGTAACTATCCCCTCTAAAAAGGACTTCTGCATCCGCACTCCTAAATAATATCCAGGAATTTTCAAAAATACTACAAATGGCGCAGAAAACGCCATCTGTAGCACGATGCTACATTTTGGAGCATACGTAATCCTAAAATGTAACATCGTGCTACAGATGGCGTTTTCTGCGCCATTTGTAGTATTTTCGAAAACGCACTGTTAAGACAGCAGGTAAAAGTTGGTCTGTGTTCTGTCGGAGCTGTCTGCGACGCGCTGATGAGATCCAAATAGATCGAAATCGCGATCCGCGTCTGGCAGTTTTGGCAAAATACAGACCACTTCGAATTATTTTATTCGATTAAGCTAACGTGCCTATCACGTTGAGGTTGGCTACGCCGGGATTCGTTTTCAGCAAGTAGATATCCACACAAGTGGACCTTGTTGGAGCATACGTAATCCTAAAATGTAGCATCGTGCTACAGATGGCGT